CAAATGAAAACACATGTGGCTATGTAATATTTGTCCCACAAGCATTATACAAGTACCGTGCGGGTGTTTTTCAAAATGACAACATAGATTTACATTTTGAAAACGGGGTTTTATATTTTTTATAATTCTAGTTTTTAAAACATGTGATATCATGATTACTGCATCCAATAAGTTTTGGTATCTTTTATTAAAATCGTATTTTATTGTTAGGTTCTTTATAAAATCCAATTTTATATTTTGGCGCGTTTAAATTTTAATATTAATCCTATATTAAAGTTTGATGTTTGAGAATTAAATAACCATTTATATTAATTTTAATAAAACCTTTTATTATTTAAGGTTTGATGTTTAGATAAGTCTCTAAAATCACAATTTTAAACCTATTAATTTTATTCTTTAAAGTTTTCGTTATATAGTTTTAAATGATAAACCTCGTTTTATTTTAAAACCATTTTATACATACAATTATGAAAATCAAGCTCCATGTGGTTAGTTTTATGCTTAAACTATTATATTGCATTTAAAATTCTATTTATCAATCATGCATAATATCACCATAAAAATAAGCACCACAAACATGTACATAAGCCAATATATAAACTAGTAAGTCATCATATTTCTAAAGGACATAAATGACCAAATCTTCTAAACGATGGTCTTTAATCTCTCACTTGCTTAAAGTCTTAAAAACTTCTTCAAAACTATGGGTGAGTTTGTTTGCATCAAAATAATCAATCTTGTTATATATATATATATATATATATATATATATATATATATATATATATATATATATATATATATATATATATATATATATATATATATATATATATATATATATATAAACTAATCTAATATTAATCTATTGCTTACAAAAATAAACAATATGAAAAAATATATATTTAATTATAATAACCATACGAATAAATAAATAATACAACAATTTTAACAAATCAACAACCAACATCACAAATGGTACATGACTAATTTATTCAATTTAAATATACATTTACATATAAAACAACAATTGTTTTGTCTAATAAAATGTTTACGACCAAAAATACATGTAAACTTTTGGTTATTTTTTATCATATAAATAACAATTATAAACATTATAAAGTTGTTATAGAAATTTTTATGATATTTTCTTACAAAAAAAATATCAATGTTTTCCAAATACAAAAATTATTCAAATAATCTAATAATCTAACCATACATATAAAAATAAATGTTATAAGGATATAATATTTTATTCAAAAAATTAGTTTCTAAAATGATAAAATTGACAACCAAAAATAAAAATTATCCAAATAATCTAATAATCTAACCATACATGTTTTCCTCAAATTTAGTTTTTCCCCAAATTTATTTGAAGTTTGTGACTTAAAGTTGATAATGAGTGCATACAACAACATATTTAAACTATACGTTAAGGATAATATATTAATGAATTAGTAAATATGATTTCAAATAAGAGGAAATAATAAAATAAAGATTAATCATAAAAGAATTTAAATTACATTTTTATTTCAGCAAATCCAAGTGCAGCACAATCATCAAGAAAATTTGGTTTGTTAATGTATATGAGGAAATACAAAAATTAGAAAAAAAATTAAGAATTTTTTGTAAAAGTTTTTAATTTAAAGTTGGAAAAGCGTTAAGAAAAAAAAATCTTATAATCAATTACAAAAAAAAAAAAACTCTTAAAAAGTCGTAGGAGAATAAATTTTGGGGAAAAAACTAAATTCAGGAAGAATTAGTAACAAAATTTTCAATTCGGATCGAATTTGTAAAACATTTAAAATTTAGTTCAAAAATATAAATTTTAAGAAAGAGATACCTGAGATTGCAGGTAACCATTCACAAAACATGAGTCAGTTATCATTTTAAAACATAAAATCGGTTAGTTGGCAATTTTAAAAAGTTAGTTTCCAAATATAAGTGATAACCCTTTATGAAATATCAAGTCATAATCACAAGAACAACGGAGACGATATCCACGTATATTTTACACACTAATGAAAAGAACTTATACTTACCCACTAATGAAATACGTAAAAGGTACCCATTAGAGTTATAAAAGTCAACTACAAATCTATGCCAAATATGACACCTAGAATTCCATCTTTCATAAGAATCATTGATTTCCAAAGTCACAATACGTGAAAATAATATTTCATGTTAAATGAAATATTGAAGATCCATTGAATGTTTATCAAAGCAAGTCATTTGCAAAGAACTCGTTTATAATTACTGGACAGATGGTCCAAGCATTTAAGTACAAGACAATGATGATGGAGTTAGGTATGCCTCCATGGACAACAACATGTAATATACCATTTTATCCAATTTCATAAAGTGAAGCAGCATCAGGGAAAATGTCTCGTCTAGTCTCTTTCTACATCACCTCCTAAGATGAAATACCAAAAGCTTGACAACAAGGTACAAAAAGATTGATAAATAGCTTGATACATCTTGAAACCAAGTCCATCTATTCAAGGCCCTGATTGTTAGGCATGGAAAGATGACCACATAAAGTTTGTATAATGTTTGATATGCATTGGACTTAGACTAAGTAGAACAAAACTGTAATTTTTTATCATATCCAAAAGAATGTTGAAGGTGAGACATGAGTCACTCTTGATCTTTTGTATGTGCATAATATGTAAGTTGTCTTGTCACTAATGTTATATAATAGGCTTAATGGATAATTGATAAATACCGAGGTTAAACCTCATATAAATAGGGATACATCATACATAAAAGACCTAATCTAAACACTAATCACTAACATCCCCCGGGACTTTATTGGAAGGGACAATTAAATTGGAAAAACAAAAACATAAAACATAACATAAATGAAGACAACCATGGGCGGAGACAATAGGGGGACATGCAGGTGTGCAACCCCCCCTAATCTCTTAATTTTTTTAAATATACTATTAGCCTATTGTTCATAAAACCACAACTTTTAAGTTCAAAATAAATAGGGAAAATGATTCTTGAGGGTAATTAACTTTTACGTTTGTACTCATTTGGTCCCTTTCCTTTTTTTGTATTCAATATATCATTGAACTTGTTGTTTGTGTTCATCATAACCCTTTTGACTGGGTTTTGACCTGTGATAGTCGTTCAAAGGGTTATGGTGAACATAAACAACAAGTTCGATGGTATATTGAGTACAAGAAAAAGGAAAGGGACCAAATGATAACAAACTCAACAGTTGGTTATCCTCCTGAGTCATTTTCCTCGAAAAGTTAAATGAAATTAAAGTTGCAAAATTATCAAAGACTGCAACCTTCTTTGACTATAACGTATATGAAGAGCGTTTTAGAGGGGTAACTTCGTTAAAACATGGCCTATGCTATGCTTACTGTGGTTAGCTGTCAACACCTCTCTTCAAAAGGATATGATTGTGTATGAGAGGTATATTTATCAGCAAAAACGTTTACATCAAGGTATATTATGGTGATGTGTCTGCAAAAGCAGCATGATATTGTACATATTGATATTGTATCACATCCCATGAATTCGATCTTAAAGCTAAGTAAACTCAAAAATCACAACACTTGTGATTCCACTCGTTTGTAAACTTGTCTAGAATCCATGATACGATAAATCATTCGATTGGAAATGTAAATGCAATCATGAAATGCGCCTGCTTAGTCAAGATTCCCCTAATAAATATGCAAGTGCATTACAAAGTTGTACATGTATGAATAGTGCTCTTTCGTGGGTTATGTTTTGAAGAGAAGTAAGAATGAATCTCATAAAGTCATTAATATCAGTAGGAGTTGACGTGGGATTTGCTGTAAATAAGTAAAGGGAAAATGACTCAGGAGGGTAACCAACTGTTGAGTTTGTTCTCATTTTGTTTCTTTCCTTTTTTGTACTCAATATACCATCGAACTTGTTGTTTGTGTTCACCATAACCCTTTGACCGGCTATCACAGGTCAAAATCCGGTCAAAAGGGTTATGGTGAACACAAACAACAAGTTCGATGGTATATTGAATACAAAAAAAAAAAAAAAAAAAAAAAAAAAAAAAGAAGGAACCAAATGAATACAAACGCAACAGTTAATTACTCTCAAAAGTTATTTTCCCAAATAAAAACGCTATCATGTAGGCGCAAAATAAAAATGTCCCCGCCAAAGCCCAATTTCCTCAACTTTTTACTGGACAATTATGATTTACACATAATAAATAACACATAAATTGTAAAAATAAAAAAAAAATTAAAAAATTAACAATAATAAAAACACAAACAGTTAAAAAGATACATCAGCAACTCGGCAACGACAATTACAATCGGCATTCGGTTCATATTCAAGAAAATATAATTTCAAATTCTTAATAGTTATGATTAATATTTATCTTTTATGTAATTTATGGTAAATGTTTTTTTAGCAATATAATTTATAATTAATGATATTATTAATGATTGTTTTCTTAATTTCTTGTAGTTATAAGGTAAATCATGAAAAAAAAAAACTATCAATTATTTTTTTCCAACCAAAAGGAAATATTCTTGACCCACAACCACATCTTGTTAATGATAATATTATGAATATGTTCATAATACATGTTCACAGTGTGATAAAAAAAATAATATGGAAAAACTAATTAATTTTGAATCCTAAAAAAACCATTTTAAATTTAAGATAGATTCTTGTTAGATGGACTTAATTCCTGTTTTTTCTTTATTAATACCTCTTTCAATTTTAAAGACTATTGTGTTTTTTGATATGTTTTCTTTCCAATATATGTAAGCCCCTTTTATCGACAAATTCTAGCTCCGCCCCTGAACACAACAACATCGACGATGGTAGTGCTTTAACGATGGTAGCTCCGCCCCTTTTATCTTCATTATGTTTCATATTCCCTTCGTTTGTTTTTTTTTTTTCTCCTTCTAAATAATAAAACAGTCGTCGACACCAAACTAGAACTCTTATATCGGTTTCTTCTACTGTCTCGTTTGCTTATGTCTCTTCGTAAGATGGCTCCTGCCTCTAAGCTTTCTGTCTTCTCCTCAACTTGCCTCTTCTTCAAATCTATTTTCCGAGTCGGTCGGAATAGGCTCCGTCTGCCGCAGCTTGAGCCCTCGTTCTTTCTCGCTGCTTTTCTCTTGGCCAGCACCTCTGACAACTATGAGAGCATGTCGTCGGATGTGGAGGGTGGTGGTAGCGGATTGTGGTCATCCGTAGAATTTTAACCTAGATCTCTGATACCATGTTATATAATAGAATGCTTCATTCATAAATACTGAGGTTAAAACTCATATAAATAGGAATATATAAGAGACCTAATCTAAACCTAAAGAAATTGGGGCTAAATCCTAATCACTAACAATTACCTCATCGAAAATAACCCTAGAAAACGTTTGCAATAGGATCTTGTCTCATCCCATAAAGTATTATCTCGTGTAACAAACACAACCAAAATGAACTAGAGAAACAAGATTATGGAAAGGAGCAAACGAGTGAGCTGGGATATGCAACAATTTCTTTTGAGTTTTTTGAAAATGTTGTTTTATGACATGGATATGTGCTCAGAAGAGCATAACATCGACTTAAAACATAAGATACATATGGCATGCCCCCACAGTGTAGCACAGTTTGTTACGAGATGATGTCTTTTTAAAACAAGTGAGGGTTCGAGTCTCATTCTGCAGTAGTGTCGGAGTTTTACTTCTAATGTGGATCGAGGTCATTGTGGATTTTGTGCTATATGGGTCAATAAAGGTTGCTGGAAGAAAAACGTTTTTCTTTTTTCAGATTCTTTTAGTACATAAAGCGAAACAACATCAATATACTTTACTCATTCGCCCATAGATTCTCCGAACCAAGTTCAAGTTGCATCTATTCCCTACGCGTAGGTTCTCTTTCAGATGGACTTCACCTAACCATAAAGATATAAAAGTAAATTTGGTCTCTTTCTCTCTCTCTTTGGTGTTGATCCAATCTTAATTCCCACTTGGCCATTTCAATAGTTTCTTAAGTGGAGATTTACCTAAGTCCCATCCTCATGATCTCATCTATAAATATCGTTTCTTCACACCCACTTCTAGTATCTGATCACAGACTTTGTCACTTTCTGTGGGAAAAGAAAACTCATAAGACATGGGTTTAACACTAGACAACTGTTTCTCTCTTATGTGTCTCATTTTTATCCTTCTTCTGCCTTCACTTTGCTTCAGTCAAGACTATTATGTCTCCTCTAGGGCAACTTATTACGGTAGTCCGGATTGCTTAGGGACTCCAAGTAAATAAATACTTTCTCCTTTCTCCTTTCTCCTTTCTCTTTTTTATTTATTATTTATTAAAACAGTATTTTTATTCTAACCGAAACAATCATAATGTATCAGCTGGTGCTTGTGGGTATAAAGCTTATGGAAGCACCATCAATGGTGGTGAGGTGAGTGGCGTCTCTAGGCTCTTCAAGAATGGCACTGGTTGTGGAGCATGCTATCAGGTAAGGCAAAAACACTCTCATTTTTTTGGTTAGACATGTTGTTGCACGACTGCATGCTATGTGAAGCCCCCTTTGATACACAAGTGACAATTCTTGTATTGTGTTTAACATATACATCATGTGTATACGTGAAATTGTAACCGATGTCAATGAGATAAAAAAGAATTCCAATTTGGACAAGGTGGGTCTACGACTCACCCTTTTCATCACTCGTGTGTGAAAAAGACGTAAGAAAAAGACGTAAATACCCTTCTCATCTTCGTCAAAGAAAAATATCTCCAAAATTTTGTCCCATCATTGTTGCATAGGACAAAAATCGACACTTTTCGGTCCTAGTTTAATGCATACCTGTCATATGCAACCAAAAAAGCCTAACAAAAAAAATGCCTAAAAGGCTTTTAAAAAAAGACAAACCATGATCTGTAAACACATGAAAGTGACATCAACAAGCATTAGTGTTCTCCCAAAAGTATAGTCTCTATGAGTACCATAGTGGCTTTGGAAAATGCATTTCCCATATATGTGGAGATGAAAAATCTTCAAAACCATCAAAATTATTAAAACTTTGAACCATTTTCCTTTGAAAGTTTTAGTTGAAAACAAAATTTCAAAACCAAGAAAACATCATATAGTATGCAAGAATTAACGACCGATTACAGAAACGTCGTAAATTCGTTGCCACTTTTTGTTCAAACATGTTCATTTTTACAAAAAGTAGCTAGGGGTTAATTTATTGATATGTTTGCAATGAAAAGTAAAGCCATGATACATTCACTTTTCAGGTTCGTTGCAAGTCTCCAAAGCATTGCAGTGAAAACGGGGTGAAGTGGTGGTGACAGACCACGGTGAAGGAGACAACACGGACTTCATCCTGAGTACCCGTGCCTACAACAAACTCGCTCTTCCAGGACTAGCAGAAGCATTATTCTCATATGGAGTGGTTGATGTTGAATACAAGAGGATTCCTTGCCAGTATTCTGGCTATAATCTCATGTTCAAAGTTCATGAGCACAGTAGATTCCCTGACTACCTTTCTCTCATCGCTATATACCAAGCAGGTGTCAGTGAAATCACAGCCGTTGAAATATGGCAGGTAAAAGCTTTATTTAACTTATGGCATCGTACTTTGGAAATTCTTACCAATTATAGTTTTTTTTTTTTTTTTTATTAGGAAGAAAAAGAAAAATCAAAATGTATGTGATTAATGAATAAATATACATTGCTATAATTGAGTTATCGTTTTTATGGGTTCAGGAGGATTGCCAGGAATGGGTGTGTATGAGAAGGGCATATGGAGCAGTGTGGGACATGCCTAACCCACCAAGGGGACAACCAGAGGGAGCCATAAACGTAAGGATCCAAGTGACAGGGAGTTCTGGTTCAAAGTGGGTCCAGCTTAAGAATTTGATTCCTAGCGCGTGGAAGGTTGGGGCTGCTTATGACACTTCTATACAGCTTGATTAAGTCAAGTCAATCTCCATCATCATGATTCATGATGCAATATCTATATGTGTATATATAGATAAGCTAGCAAATAACACGTGTTTTGCTTTGTTAATTGTGTGGTTAATCTTATATGTCGATTTAATGTGTAGTTGAGTGTTGAGATAAGTTATTTCTGATAACTGTCATGCTTGAATAAATGATACTCGGCATTTTGTTTCGTGATGTTGTTGGTTGTTTCATACTCTGCATTTTGTTTCATATTTAAGGAAGAAATAAGAAAAATATGGATATAATTTAAATAACAGAGATAGCTTCGTAAATTCGAGAAGCCACTCTTCAAAAGATAAATCATGATATGCACATACCCTCTACCCTCTTATACGCACCGTTGCAAGTTGCAACAAACTAATTAACATAATACCCAAAATACCCCTCCTTGATAAAATGCTCTATATTCTTGCTGATTTCCTGTAAAACCCGTTTCTAGAAAATGTGAGACTAAGTAAATGCTTAGCAATTGATAATCTCAATCATTAGCGAGGAAAGGGGCTCTCCAAAACAAAATGATTAGCTACCTGCATAAAGGTGCCACGTCACTCTAGCCGACCACAAAGGTGGTTCCCCCACTACTAACAACAATATGGGTGGAGCACTAACAAAAAGATTCCCTGTCAATGCTATATAAATATCATAATATTAAATAGAGACCTGGGCCCCATTGGGTTACCTCAATGGGGTTTATCAACATTGTAGTTTAAAAAATCTTCTCAAACGATGGCAATAGGTAACCTGATACCTTTTAAAGCAGTTACCCCATCTCTGAAATTGGTAGATTTTTAATGGAGAATGCCTTAATAACAAATAACTTGACAGTAAAATACTGTGTTACATTTGGAGAACAACTAATGATTACCATTTGCCATTATTTAGTTTTTTAATAACTATTAAAAGCGGGAAACACGAGAGACTTGGCGGGAAAAACTACTATTGAAAACAAGGAACGAACATAGCGCGGTTGGAAGCGATTGTTTGGAAGCTAATAGGGAGAAGGCCGGCGACGTCGAGCAGATTGTTGTTTCACTTATCATCCTTAACAGTTAACCCATGGAGTCACAGATGGAGAGGTTTCAGTCTTGCCGTTAATTTCGCACGCAAATCAGAGGTGGTTTCACTTTTCAGGCGGCATGCAATCGTCATCGTCATCGGAGGAGGCATCTGAACAGGCCACCGGAATAATAATGGTCTCTGTGCCGGAAAGCTCTGATGATTACCAAACTCCTCCAGAACATCAATTTTCTTCTCAGAACTCCAGCAACGACGGTCAGGTGCCGGCGGCAACGACAAAGACTGCATCTCTTGATGGGGAAGTGGAAAGCAGCGGAGTTCAAGACGAACAGAGGATGGTGGTCGAAGATACTTTTGACAGAAAGAAAAAACGGACGATTGACATAACGAACGACTCGGATAATCTAGAGTTTTTGGAAAACAGATCTAGGTCTCTTGAATATAAAGATAACAACATACTGATGGTTGATGTGAATGACACTGGACAGATTGAAGCGGAGGAAAGTAATGCTGCTAAAAATTGGGTTGTGGAAGACGCACCTAAAGTGTTTGTAGAAATGCCCATGAGAGAACAAGAGGTGAGTATGAGCTATACAGAAGTTAATAAAAGCTTAAACAAAATAGACGACCACAATGTGTATCCCAAAGGAAAAGGACGATTGCCATTTTCAATTTCAATTGAGACAGAGAAAAAGCATGACGTATTTATAGATACCCTGAATCGTGCTTGCAAAATACTGAAGCGGGAGGCAAAAGTTGAGGCCGGCGGTGATACTGATAAAGATGATGATTTTCTGGAGACTGCAATGCGGCGGGGCTTGATTTTCCATCGTCCGAGGTGGTGGCCACCGGAAGGTTGTCTTCAAGATTAAACTCAAACCTACATTTCAAAAGATGGTAACTTACTTTTTAATGGTTGATGTGTTTTTTGCCTGGTGATGCCTTACGATAGGTTTGTACATCAGGTAATTACTTTTATTTGTCAAATGTAAGCTTGAACTTCGTTTTTTTCTGCTAAAATATGAGTATTTGGAAATGTAATTATATAAATATGGGTATTGTGAAAATTTTGTGTAGAAATAAGGATGTTCGGAGGGGTCCCATATACATTTAGGGCTTGTTTGATTTCAACTTACCGGGTCCGGTCAGTGCTGACTGCTGACCCCGGTCAACAGTCAGATGTTTGATAATATCATATATTAACTGATTCGGTCAGCCCATTCCAATCCATTCTACTTACTCGGTCCGTCCAAAATACCCTCCTAACTAGATCAGCGCTTCCATCGATTTGTGCCCTTTCTCGCCTCACCCTTCTCTCGCCAAAATTGAAGATAGAAATCGATACCCAACAGCTCTTCGCCCTCCATCGCACGTCGACTACAACCATCTGCGCCACCTTCTCCGGCGAAGACCACACAGCGCCGGTGAGGACGGGTAAGTTTCTGCGTTTTTTTTTTCCTGTTTTGGCTTTTGCTTCTTGAAATCAAAAATCCTTTGATGTTTGTTGTCAAATTACTGATTACATGCTGAAATCAAAGTTGAAATTACTTATTTAATTATTCTTGGATTCAATTAGATTGAAGGATTACCATAAAAATAAATTGACATGAACTCATCAGATGAACTAATGTTTGAATATGTTTGTACATTCTTGTGTGAAATCAGAAATTAAAGATTGTTATATGCTTATGAGATCAAAATTTATTTTGTATGATGAAATCACATGTATGTGTTCTTGTTTATAAAAGAGTGTTTTATGTTGTTGAAAATATGATGAAATCACATTTATGTGTTTTTGTTTATAAAAGATTGTTAAAGATTGTTGTATGCTTATAAAATCAATTCATAATGTGTTTTTTTGTTTATAAAAGATTATTATATGCTTATGAGAACAAAATTTATTTTGTATGAGGAAATCACATTTATGTTTTTTTGTTTATAAAAGATTGTTTTATGTTATTGAAAATATGATGAAATCACAATTTTGCTTGATTTATTTGTAAACATGTGTTATGTGGATGATTTATTTGAGAATGTGTGTTATGTGAATGATTTAGTTACTTTTTTTTTCTTTTTTACAATAGACATGACGGATAAAAGAACTAGGGTTAGTTGGAAGTCGGAATTGTGGACAAAACTTTTTTGGAAGCGTGTATACAAGAATTAACAAGTAATGGCCGGAAGGGTAGTGGCCTAAAAGCAAGCTCATGGGTTGTGGTCGCGGAGAAATTGAAAACAGATCATAATTTTGTTGTCGACAAAAAACAAATGAAAAACCGATACGACTATTTAAAAGTAAAGTATGCAGTGTGGTTAAAACTTAAAAACAAAACAGGAAATATTTACAATCCTGTAACAAATTCTTTTAACATGACTAATGAAGAATGGGAAGCGGAAGCGAAGGTATATATATACATATTTTTTAAATTAGATTATTTTTTTTACTACTTTAACAATATTTATTAAATTTTCAAACAGCTAAACAAGTATGTAGATAAGCTGAGAAATGCACCCCTCCTTTGCCCTAATCTTTGTACCCAACTATTTGATGGGGCGACCTCGACCGATGTTCACAGTTGGGGGTCATCTTCGACATTACCTCATCCCAATGAAACCTTCAGTACACATGATTTTGAGGATACAGAGATGGAAGAGCCAACACCTCATCCAGATACCCCAAGCTCAACCGTACCTCAACCTACTAGTGAGGAATCATCTTGGCGGACAAAAAACAAGGGGGGCAAGCGAAATGGTCCTAAAGAAACCACACTTGATGATGAGTTGAAAGAAGTTGGAAAAGAAATTATCAAGGTTGCACGAGCATTCACGGAAGCAAATAATCTTGACAAGGAGATGGATGCTTGTATGGCAAGGTTGACAAGTTAGGAGTGGGGAGAATATGATCCGAAATACACCACTGCTCTTATGTTATTTGCTGAAAGTGCTAGCAATAGGAAAATTTGGTTCCGCCTTAACTTGTCAACTTGTGAGTCGTGGGTAACAAATGCAGGAAGAAAGTTTGGATTAGTTGGTTGACTTTAGTATGTCATGGTTTATTGTTTGATTTTAGTATGTTCTGGTTCATTGTTTGATGTAACGCCCGTAGATCCGGGCTAGTCAATTTAGAGGCAATAGGGGTCGAAAATGACTTTTCGACAAAAGATTATTTAGAATAAATAATCTTAACGAAATTGTAGAATATGTCACAAGGTTTCCGTACATATAAAGAACGCCGAAATCCGAGTTATAACGAAGAAGTTATGGCCCGTCGAAGTTTTACGGCAAAACCGACATGGCACCGAAAAGCGTAAATAGTGAATTTACGATAGAGCGAGATTTATCCTTAGCAATCTAAACAAAAGTCGTAGAATATGTTAAACTAAGAGCATCGATAAAAAGAACACCCAAATCTGACTTCGTATGAAAAAGTTATGATTTTTCTAAGATTCGGCTTAGCAGTGCACGGCCCGAAACTCGAATTTTAGTTCGAGCGGTTTTTGGCTTACGTGACCTAAATGAGAGTTCAAGATCTCATTAATAGGAACTCAACGGTAAAAAGACAGACGAAAACGGAGTCGGTATGAAGGAGTTACGAATTCTTCGCGGTCATTTAACAGTCTAAACGTCTCGTACTGTTAAATTTAAGATCGGTCAAAAATTAGCCGACGGAGTCAAAATGAAAGTTGTAGATATTATTTTTACCTACGCGTGGATATAAAGAACGTCAAAAACGGAGGTCGTATGTGAAAGTTACGGATTTTAGAAGTCGGAAGTGTGCTGTGCGAAAATGGGTGATGTGGCACAATCTTGGCCATTGCTTTCTCCCCAAGTCTTGCCACTAGATGGTGACATGTGGCACCAAGTTCAGCCATTTTCACCCTATAAATACCACCTCTCCCACCCTCATTTTCTTCACACCTTTCCCATTCTTTCTTCTCTTTACTCTCTCTCTCTAGAACCTCTCTCTAGCCCCGAAAAGCCTAGGGAACCTCCCTAGCACGAGGCGGAAGCCCCGGAGTGCTCGACGGCTCCGAGAAGAAGAGCTTTTCGGCTCGGAAACGCTGCTCCAAGCAAAGTCTGATTTTCTATAAAACCCGTTGTTTCGTCGAAGGAAATTATTTTAAAGTAAACGAAGCGTTGTCCGAGTACCAAGTTACCACCTTCTCACGTGAGTGCATGGTCCATTTCATCTTACACATAGATATGAAG